TATTAAAGTACAATTTTTTTGAAGATCAAAGTCGTAGTCTGGATAGCTTTATTACTTCGCAGCTCTTCGCCATTTCCTTTCTTTCTGGTGTTAATATTCTCACTCGGCAATTCAAACGCGGAAATAGCCTCTTGTTGTTCCATGGCTCGTCTGAAAATTTATAATTGCACAAGAATTAAACGATTTATCTTACGCCCAATTTATGCGTCACCACATTTCAGTCGCGTCGAATAGAATTCAAGTCCAAGAAAACTCGCTGAAATCGCTTTAAATCAGCACAATACTCACAAAAATAGCAAAGTAGAACACGGCGTTGCTTCCATGATGTATTAGAACGTAGTCGAATCAGATAATACCAGCGAGATTTCTGCGGCTTGAATTACATTCGACACGACTGAAATGCGACGTATAAAGATTGGGCCTTATTTTGTCTATTTTTGATAACATTGAAATGCGCGCAAAACTTGTAGGTTTTTAAATATAAAAAGTGACATATTTTTATTTATTGCGAGGTGTAAAACAGCTTTGGGCTTTTGCAAGCAGACAGTTTTCACCTGCTCCAAGGGTCGCAAATAAGGAATTGACAAGAAGCCATTTTCATTGGCCCGCGGTTCATACATCGGTAACCAATCTCTTACTTTTAAAAGAGTTTTGCATTTAGCATTACATAAAAGGTTTTTCGGGCTCATTTTTGCATATCTAGAATCAAAACAACCTCGCCTTTATTGCAAGATTCATTTGGATGTGCAACTAGCTGTCTGCAGACGATTTTTGGATTATTTCACTAGGCTGCAGAAACAGTCGATCGATTGAGGATTAAAAATGGCTGACTGGAGGATGAAGATTATACGCTCAAGCGATGCTCCGGTAAAACGTCCGTCTCATATGTTTTAATTTCATTTCGTGTATTTTAATTCTCCCATGGTTTCTGCGACGGTAAGGCTTTGCAAATGTCGGGTATTTCATTTAGCTGTGCTGTTTATTACGAAAGAAAGAAACATAAAAAGGTCATCCCAAAAAATTGTTGGTGTATATAGAAGTGAACAAAATAATAATATTAAAATTCGAAGTATGGGAACTATAGCTTCTCCAGCACTGAAATTTTATAACAAGAATAAATCAGGGAATTTTTTTTACTTTTTCAAAAAAATTGTGTCGGTCGGGCGATGGTAAACGAAACCTTTTATTTGGATGGCCAAAGCTCGAAAAAGATATATTAAAAAATTAATAGCGATTGTGATCGAGTTTAATTCTCAGTTCTCGCGCGCAATTCGGTTTGATTTTGGAGCAACACTCATGCATCTGGGAAAAATGGTGCACGGTTTCTGGGGTAAGCAGACACCCTTGGGAAGCAGAAAAATTGTCCGCAACTGGAGCTGGCCGCTTACGGGAATGTGTAAATACAGAGTTTGTATGAGCTGGAGTTCATTCAAACGGGTTTTGTCAAGGCGGCCGTAAGTAGAGCTGTCCGCTTACGAGAGTGTTTGCTCAGAGAGCTTTGACTGTGTTATGCATTACGTCAGTATTAGCTAAGGTAAATATATAAAGCTCCCGGAGGCCGCGATTTTAAAATTTCTGAGTCCGACATTCGTTTTCTTCCGTGCAACTGCGCTTCCAGATCAAAATGCAAATTTTAATGTTATCTTTCGCAGCAAACGAGACTGTTCGAAATAAAATCCGGCGAACACAATTCAGTAAAGGCCCGTCGATCACGGAACTTTGACAGATTATTGAGAAGTGAATTCTATGATCAGAAAGGTACTTTGAATTCTATTTGTTGTCGTTGATAGTTTTTTTCGGCATCAAGAGAACAACTGGAATTATAATCCAAGCGTCTAAGGTCTCTAAGCTTTGACAGCTGGAGTGGCTATTCTAGTCTGTATTCAGTTTAGCATGTCAGTGAGACAATAGGGAGACACTTGGTGACAAGTTATACCACGTAGTATAGCTATATTGCTCCGATTAGAGGTTTAGGGATTTCTTGGCAGTTTGCGATGGTTTGGAGCAACTTCGAACTGGAGAAAAATGATGTTTCTGGAATAAATCCACCTAGGCAACTTCGTTCCTCAGAAAAATTCAATTGTAACGACCTTCACCTTGCTAAAGGGCCTTTTCAGTGCCCACACCTTTTTATGGGACAATTTATCAAACAATGTCAAGTCCTTCTACTCCGTTATCATCATAAATCATCTCTTAAAAGTTTCTTATTTCGCAAGCGGTTTTTAAAACTTTTAAATCTGATATTTTTCAAGGATATTACTGGCCTATATATATATTTTTAATTTTTCAATATTTTTTTTGCATTTTTAGTGTTGCGTGCGATAAGCTAGTTAATTTTGATTACTTTTTGATCATAACCTAACATAGCTCACGCCTACTCCCTGCCGCTTGTTTTCATTTTTTAGTCATTTATTGCAAAACCCATATAACTACCGGGGGGTGGGGGTACTCCCCATAATGGACTATACGGGGAGGCTCCGCCCGAAAAGGGGTAGCTTTTTCAGGCTGGAGGCATATAAAAGGGTAGGGATTTCACGAGTTGGAGTATAGAAAAGGGTAGGGAAACTGAACTGTCGTTTAGGTGTTTAAAAAGGCCTTTCAAAATATCTCGAACAGACGCACCTAACGGCTGATTCATCCAATATTTTAAGGGGCTACTCAAGCGAAAATCGGAAGAGAGGTATCCGCTTATGGGAGGTTAAAAATGTAGTGTTTGTATGTAGCTGGAAACATGACCAAGCGTCCGCTTACGAGAGGTGTCCGCCTACGGGAGGTGTCCGTTAGCGGAGGTTGAATATCAAAGCGAGGTCACTCGGGTGTGAGTAGTTGCGTGAGATAAGCTGGTGTTCACGGTTCTGAAATTTTAAAAATAGACTAATGTGCATTGCAAAAAAGCGCAATTAGCTCCCCGCTTCAGGGCTCGTGACCGCTTTTAAAATTTGTGATCCCGACTTTCGTCTCCCTGATGCAGCTTCGAACAACCTAGTCCCAGAGTCTTCGAATTCTTCACTCGTTTTTCGGACTGAGGACTCTCCGTCGGCGCCGTGTAATAGCATCGAGCGGCTCTGGGAACGAATTTAAACGAAAACGAGGCAACTTGCTTCCTAACTTGCTTCCGGTCATGCCAGTCCCTACTCAATGATCAGTAGCAAGCATCTGGTCATATTTGAAAGATATTTAAGGTTGGGCGGGATTACACTACTGATATGTGTTTTGTTTTATTAAAAGATAATCAGATTTCAATCAGGCTTCTCTTATATCAAGATCAGATATAATTATATTCTCTTACTTATATAGATCATCCTCTGTTTTATTTAGTGGTGTTAGATATGTTTCTGGTGGTATATACGAAGTAATTCTCACGATCAGTAACATCTGAATGGTTCAGTGGTGCTCCATTACGTACATATATATATAGATGATTCAACTGCCGGATACGTTTATTAAATTGAGGATTCCACTTAGTGCTTTGAACAAATCATTTCGGGTTTTTCTGAAGAGCGCCAAACTGATCTCTTTACCTTAAAACTTATCAAAGGAGCTGATTGCTGCGGCGAAAAGTTATATTAAAACAAAAGTATATTCTCTTGATTAAAATTAACATGTGCGCTCAGTTTCCAGCGACTAGAAACCCTGCAACATTTTTTGTTTCAATTCAATCTTTTTCATGGTACATTGTGCAACATTTACACAGCTTTATTTTTAACAAAGCAATTTTACTTAGTTCCATTTACAAAATACACACAATATTGTTCCTTTTCTGTAAACCATAATCACATTATTTGCTTATTAGTTCAATTTCTGCTTGCCTACATTTGTGTGGAACACAAAAGAACTAAAAACATTGTTTCGAAGCAACGAATTTGTTTCATACAGATCTTTGATACTCATTCATATAAAAGTTGTTCGTTTAACTTGCCTTTTCAGTATTGTAGTAGTAGCTCTATTTAACTCCTGAATGACTAAATTTATTTCTGTTAGTTCAGCTAACAAGCTTTCCGGCTTTATTTAGAGTCAAACACTAACCCGTCAAGTCCGGCGTGACTGGTTGTAAAAAGAATAAAGCAATTGAAACCCACGATGTTTACACAGACGTTCCCCTTACATAGTAATAAAGTGAATTTATGGTCGGTTCTCAGCTTCAGTCATTCGTGTTTCATTGTTTGACCGGAGCAGTTTGCATTCAATATGATCGGTTCAGATCCTCGCTATTTTACTCTCGTGTCTTTAGTCCTATTTTCAGCTTTAATCCCAGATGTTACGCCTCTTCAACCCAATAGCACGGTTAGTATAAAGTGTATATATTTTTAAACTGCATAATCATGTTATCGGTCAGTTTCTGGTAGATGGGGCAACCATGCAACTGTTCAGTCAATTCATTTCCGCATAATCACGTTATCGGTCAGTTTCTGGTAGAGGGGGCAGCTAACTGTGTATGTGTTCAGTCAATTCATTTCGTGGTCTTTATACCTTTAATCTGAGGGTTTCACCTGGCCTCTCACTGCACAACTCCACTGACTGTATAGAGATGTGAATATAGTAGTTTACCTACATGTAATTTTCTTTAAGTCATCTTAATCAAGTACGGAAAACTGAGGAATTTGATGGAAATTAACTTCACTCACTTAGGTCATGCATGTGCAATATTTAGTTTGGTGACTCATAAAGCGGCACTTGAACGAGTTATCCATTCGCCGGTCATTAGTTAAAACGGACAGTGATTTGTGAGGTATATAGCGGGTGTTAATCATGTTTTATTCTCCTCTGCGAGAAGCTAATCAGCTGCAATAACTGGTCTTTTGTTAGATGGGTTTGCAATTTTTTTAATACTAATATGCTATTAAAAAAATCATTTTCTGCCAAGCTTAAAATATACCATCATTTCTTTCCGCAATCAGCACACTCGTCGACAAATCTAATCCTGTATATATAGCAGTCGGTATATATGTGGGATGTTTGTCAGATTTGAACCTAGTTATATGCCCTAAAGCTCCCACGAGTCTCCTGTAGCCTCAGTGGTAGAGCGTCGGACCAGTGTGCGGAAGATCATAGGTTTGACTCCTGTTGGGGAACTCGGCATTTTTTTCCGAGTAACTTGTGTCACTGGCAGAATACTATATTTCTCAAAAAACTCATTGTGACTGAATGACTGTATTCTGAAATCCTTCAACATCATTATAAAGTTTCCGTATCCACAATAATCAGTGATAATCAGTGTAATTCTCTTAGTTGTGGTGGGATAGCTAATAACAGAGAGTGCAAAGCCATTTTCTTCATCATCGGCACCTGAATAAAATATTTCGTGATTATTTTAAATATTCCTTGCGCCAGTACTGTCCTGGGGGTACCTGTCTGGGTACGGGTACAGATAATAATAGCAAGCTGAATTATCATAGTCTCTTGTCTAGAGATAATGTTCCAGTTTTTTTTTTTTACTTTATTTTTGAAACCCTCTTATCTTATCAAACTAGCTATTGAGGTTATCCTAGTCAGGAGTTCAAGTAATTTGCTCCGGTCCTGGTATAGTTTTTTTTAATTGCTTCTTGAACAAATGGGGCATTCATCATGTTTAGTGTGAACAATAATTATCATCACAAACCCCTCCCCCCACCCCTCCGGCACACATCACTTCTAAACGGTTTGGCATGCAACTCGCTCATTTCGCCTTATTTGTAATTGGTTCCTTTTGTAGCGTCACGTATTTGAACCATAAGGTTAAAATTTATTTCTTCAACTGTTTAATTTGACGGATATTTGTTAAATAAACTCCGCTTCAGCCGGTTCGCCTTTTCAGATAAATTAATCTGGTGCATGTCAAGTGAACTAATAAATGGGTTCTTCTATAGACATAACAAATGAAAATAAGCTAAACCATGATTACCTAGAGTGTTATGGCTTATGGTGTGGTTTTCAAGTTTTTTCTGCTTGTGGCCATCCCCACAAAATGTGATCAAATGTTTTGTTTCCCATCGCCCTCTCTCTCGTGAAAGTGGGTCGGTCGGTCGGTAAAAAAAAAAAAAAAAAGCCGAGAAACGAAATATTGACTAATTTACATTAAATAATTCCAAGCGAACCTTGATTATATCTTCCCCGTGACCACCATTTTGAAACGAGCTGATATCACTCTGAAAGGTGTTCGAAGAGTCATTACTGGGCTGATTTTATAGATGTCAGAATGATTGTAAAAGCTTGGTACACATGTATAAACACCCGAGAAAAGGTCGCAGGCAATTAATTATTTATATATATTTTTTACTTTTTGAAAAAATTGGGTCGGTCGTGGCCTGAGGCTTCTCGTGGTTTCAATTATCCATGTTTTTCTATAAAGGTTTAATGGTTTAGTCGCCATCGCTTTATTGGTTTTGAACAGACTTGATCTACAGCTGTTTGCAGCCCGCGGCATGACTGCTTTTAAAAGAACACTAAAAACTTTACGATAAACTACAACATTTGCAGGACTACTGTAAAGTAAGATTAGAATCGAATACAAAGCAACTAAAAAATGACCAGAACTCTAAATAATTATTTCTTAAAATAAATACACCTCAGTATTGTATATATCAGCTGCATTTTTTGGCAAACGGATTAAATATATACCCTGGTTGCATATCGAGATCATTTTATATTCATTTTTACAGACGATATTAATAAGCTCCCTGGATCTGCGGTTTAAAATAAGCTCATTCCTTTTTCAGTAATTTGATGGGAAGTTGCCAGAACATAATGCCTTTATCAGGGCACCCAACGGATCGTTTCGGTGGAATATCTGTTCGGAAGGCCTATAATCGCCTCAGATATTCGGTTAGGGAAATGTCATCTCAAACTTTCGTAATATGGGAAAATTAATGCCTTTTGTTTTCGGAGAGATAAAAATGTCGTTTTGGGTACAAAAAATGTCAGCTAGGATTTTCGGAAAGGCAAATTCAGCTCGTAAATTCGGGTAATAAGAGTTCAATCCCTAAAATTTTCTGATGTTTGAAAGTTCAGCTAACGTATCCGAAAAGAAACATTTTTCTTAGCGATAAAAATAAGCCATTAAACCGCACAAAAAGCACAATTATAACGTAAAAACAACGTTCCGACACCTACAAGAAAATTTTGTCGTTGGTGCCCTGCTTTATATTAATACAGAGTCTCATTTTGTTTTACTATAAGGTATTGTTACGAGTTTAATACCTCTATTTATTCTATTCACATTAGAATATTTGACACACACAAAAGCCTGGGACAGGTGCAACAAATATTGACCTTTTCCCAGAGATAGCATTGGAAATTAAACATGCGTTTGAGCTTGTTGATCTCAATATAAAAACACAAAGCTGGAACATTATAAATGTGCAGGTTGCATTGAAAACAATCACCAATTTCCATTGGGTGAAAATACAAAATAATATCATGGTGTGTTCGAGTCGTGTTGTCATTGCGTTTATTTATAAATTTCGTAGTCGGGCCAAATAGATCTGCAGACAGACGATTCATTCCAAAAGCAGGTACTGTCGTATTTTACTGAGGGACTCAATACACCACTTGTAAAATTTACCCGCGAAAAGTCTGAAAAGTCACGTTCCACGGCGTTCTATTGTTCTATTGACACGTATCACTCAAAAACTGATTAGCATTTGAAAGGGTTGCCGATGCATTGAACTGGGTTCTGGTGCACCAGCGAGCACAAACCGAGTGAGTAAGCTGTTGCTCGGATCGGAGCCTAATCGCAAATGGCGGCGCCGACAGCGGAGCAAAAGCCAGATAATGCAGCCGAAAAGCAGGTAAAACCCGGGGAAGAAGCGGCGGCTCCTTCACAAAATGAACCGAAGAAAGCAACGAGGAAAACAGAACTCGCGATTTTGAACTTTGTGATAAAATATCTCAAGTTGGTCGGCGGCGCGCTGTTGATTTGGTTCATGGGCTGGCTAGGGTTGAGCTATGTGTGGCTCATTTGTGGGTTTTTCGTGTACGTTTTATGGCGTATGAATCAAGAACAACGAAAAACTAGGAGAGATGCGTTTAAAGAAGCCGCGGAAAGCGAACACGAAGCTATCGAAGCTCGAATGGAAGATCTACCATCTTGGGTAAGAAGCTTGTACATTTCACATGTGTGTTGTCAATTTAGTTTGCAGATAATTTGCACTTCTAAATTTTAGCAGAACGCTGGAAAGAACTGAAGTATAATTTCCATTTCTTTGAGCTCCGAATTTAATACATGCAGGTTTCGTTCTATTTTAGAGAAGTAATCGTGAACAAACGAGCTAAGCTTGAATCAAACATGTCAGCTCGTGTCATAGTTCGTGGAGGAAATTCTTTTGTTTGAATTTTCTCTTCAGTTGTAAGCTAAAATAAAACTAAATTCAACAGATTGTTTGCTAAGCATTTGCTTGAAGGTTTTATGCGTCCAATTTTTGTTGTTTGCTACCAAAACATTTTTATTGAGCAGATAAGTTCCTGATGATTAATCTGGGAAAGGTGTACGTGTTATTCTTAAATCTTATAGGCGTGGTTTGCAGATGTAAGCTAACTCTCGAGAAAGTTCGTTCAGAATTTGTTTGCACGAACAAACATTTATCAGGGTGCCTTTCTAAAAGTCCTCGAGTTTGAACACGACACGGGGAGAGTTGAAGTCGGTGAGCAATACGAAAGCTTGCAGATTACAATGTATAACACTTTAGGAACAGCCACTTTATATGGGATAAACACGTCGAAATTAGTCAATGTATTTATAAATTTTGGAAGTATTTAGGGGCGATTAGCTCAATATTTTAACTTGAAAATACTAACATAAGAATAAACTTCAATATTGTACTTGAATATCTGTTTAAATCCTGCAGGTTTTAACAAATTATATGCTGGAAACTTTATATAATGAGTTAGTTGTTTGTCTGGCAAAGTTTTTTAAACAACAAGGGGCCATAAAATATTTAAATGTTGATAATTCTGCAGACATATAAAGAACAATGTCTATTTAAGTGTTTTTAAGAGACATCAAGCTGTGTTTTATTCTATAAATTTATATTTTTTGGTCTTAGCTTTCACAAATATTTACACGACTGTGAATGGTATACAAGGTTGATATAATTGAAAGAATTTAAAAGCCTTAAAATTTATTTGTACTTATTTATTCATGTTATGGTTAAACCCATATGTTGTTTTTTATGTTCAAGTAGTGTGTGGTAACATCATCTGCACTTATTTAACTCAAACATAACTTATCGTTGCTAGGAGATATGTTTCAATATGAAAAATTTCCTTATAAGCACGAAATTAAATGTTACTAGGTGTTAGATGCAAGCGCGTTTCTATAAATTTTGGAGTGCAATTCTTTATTTAGCTGATTATCAAGCTGTGTGCTGTGCATATCATATTTTTCTGCATGCATCTGATTACCCTGGTCCAAGAGGTGTTCTTTCCTGTCGTTCTCAATCGAATTTGAGCTGCGAAGTAGCGAAAGCGAGTTGTGGGAGTGACGATGGATTTTCTGGTGTGCTTCGACTCTCTTCAGTCGAATTCAGTAGCTAGAATTAAGACCTGGGGTAACAGCTGATACTTTACATTTTAAATTGAAGCTGTATTTTGTAAACACGAAGCTAATGGACAACTGGTACTAGTCATAATGTGTAAATAGTGTCTGCCAAAATGGATGGATGGGGAAATATTGTCTGAGTCGCGCCATTACGTTAAAGTGCAGCTGTAATACAAGTGTCGAGACAATTTTTGTGAGAATGAACGAAAAAAATTTCAAGCTTGTATAAAATATTTCTAGGGATTGTAAAAATAAATTATGTAGATTACCCAAGTCATGTATGGTTCCAAGATTTTCTTGTCCAGCGTGATGAACTCTGTCCATACCAGTGACAGATTTAGGGGAGGGGCCTGGAACATTTTTCGGGCCCCAAGCTGAATTTAAGGTTCGAACGGCTGGAAAATTTTCGGGCCCCCTCCTTATAAACAGGTCTGGATCCACCACTGAGTACAAGTGTCCTCATATGGAGCATATAAAAAAATTATTTCGGCTCCCAGGGTACATACTTTTTATGCAAATGTGATCAGATTGTACTAACAATATAATACAATATTACATA